TTGCTCACGAAGTCACCTCACTTCTTTCGATAAAGCGGATAAGTCTACTTGCAGCTTGACCTCCCTATCTAGTAAGTATTTTATTTTTCTCCGCCAAGCAATATTTGACCCAGCAGGTTTATCCCGTCACTCCCAAGGCGGCGCACTTTCTGCTGCTGCGGCTCAGCGTTGCCATGTGCCGTGGCTGCGACCTCGCTCCGCACCGCACGCGCCTCCGCTGAAGATATTGATACGCGTCCCGCGTCACTGTCCACGTACACCGAATCTGTCACCTGACGGGTCGCAGGGTGATCTAACTTTGTAAATTTGGGCCTTCTTCACTGTGTCTATAACCCTGGCTCCAAGGATATACTTTTTTGGCATTCCCTTCGGCTGCGATGAAACTACAACAGGTTCAATTCCTTTTCCCGTGCTAATAAACTCTATCGTTTTACTTTTCGATTCCACGCATAATCTATCATCCGAGTTAAGTATAGGCGGGATGTTCCCTTCCTCTATTTCCCAAAAATTGCGAGCCAATAATTTGTGAGGTTCAATAGCGGTGCAACAATGCGAAGTTAGCGAAATATTGTAAACCGTAGGAGCGGAACCAACAATAACGTAACCTAAAACGGTTTCTAATGCGTAACGTGCGGTACACGAGGATTTACCCCTGACCTTGTTGTGTAACAAAAGGTGGGGAAAATAGATGCTCCGATGAGCATATCAATATCTCCAGGGACGGGGTAATTGTCCGCCAAAGCTAAGTTATCGAAATTGGTCATTGAGGAAGCGTCGATTGAAACGGTTGACAGGCTGTTATCTCAGCGACCTTATCCACTACTAATGAATTTATATTACAATTAATACTGCGATCTAAACGAGAATAAAATTTATCGAAATTAAGTTTATCGAACCTTGGACCGTTTTATTAAAGCCTCCAATTCCCTTTACTACAGGACATGAAGGCGTCTTGTGTTTACTAATTATCCCAAACGTTAGCGACACTGCTGCGTTATAAAATTACTTTGCGACGCGCTATCTCACAACGTACGAACGTTTCGTTCGTTTCTATGCAAATCTCTAATTATGACACGCGCGGTACCCAGCAGCACAGTGGTTGAAATACGATCAGCCTCTCGCAGGTTCCACAGTGAGCACAAAGCAACCTCTCCCGAACGCCCATCGGAAGCGTCGACCTTGGTAGATAGGATCTCACTTCCAGACTTGTCCAACGCGGATGTGGTACCACTCTCAAAATGCAACAATGTGTGACGTCTGTTGTGGCATTTATTAGACACTGAACTAGAGCTACAATTAGCAATGTGATGCCCGTTACTTCAATTCAAACATAAGTAGGTAGGTAGGTAGGTCATTAATTTTAAGATTTTTGAGGGCGGCCACCGACGTCACGAATGTATCCATAAATTGTTCGAGGCTATTTATATTCGCGCATGACAGCTTTAAGATCGAATATTTAGTCTAGATATGCAATAACGTGTCTTTTAGCGTAAAGGGTTTTAAGTCGCATTTCATTTGCACTTACTGCCATCTTGCAGTACAATAATAAATATTAAACTAACACAAAACATCGCGTAGTGATGGTAAACGAAAATTTCACAGTGTACGAGAGGTTAACTATTAAAAGAAGGCAATGTTTGCTAGTGACGCAACACCTTTCCACTAAACGATTTATTAAATCAAACGCTTTGTCACGATTAAATTTCCTAAGTGGGCAGTCTGCAACGAGATGTTACAATTTATTACGTGCGATGTGGGTGGATGTGAAATTCTTCTATGGCAACAAACGATTGATAAGTAAACGAGTTTACTGTATATATGTAATATATATTACACAACTTCGAAAGAATTTGGAAGGCGTTATTTGTAGCGTACACTAACCAAATCAAACAAGTGTTTATGCAAGAATGCACTACGTATATAAATTCATATAAGTATTACGAATTGCGGAATTAGATAAACAAAAAACTACAGCGTATCAAACTAAGGAATATAATACTAAAACTAAATATATAAGGTTATGCGAGTGTAACAACAAAGAAATTTCAACTATATGCAATTTAACTTCAACAATACGGCGTACAGTGCCCCAGTAGTGCTAAGCGAAACTAAATCTATCTAGGAACCTAGGTGCGAATAAACTAGAGTGTATTGTCGATATTGGTTTAGCAGCTCGACTCGATCAGGCCACAGGACGCCAGTTCCAAATCCGAGCCATTCGGCTCGGATTTGGGACCAGAAAATGGTGACGCTAATGATGGTTCCTGGGTTCTAATCCGGAAACGGATGGTCACTAAATGGTTAGGGGTGACTAGGTATCATTTGACTTCGTATCACGCAATCTATTATTAAATAAATTGGAAAAAAATAGGAATAAGAGGTATTACGTTGCAGTGGATTGCTTCGTATTTAACAAATCGTGCTCAATGTGTCACGATAACAAAATTGATCAATAAAGACGTTAGAACATATAATTCCAACTACCTAGAAAATAATAATGGGGTCACAAGGCAGTATCTTGGGGCCCATATTGTTTATATTGCATATCAATGACATATCTGATGCGACAACTCATGAATGTATCACATACGCTGATGACATTTCGGTTATAGTTAGGACTAAAAAAATAAAAATTCAATATATAATCACGAATTGGATGTAAATAATACAATTGATAAGATAATTGGATGGCTACAAGCTCACAATTTAAAAATTAACTTGGCAAAATCAAATTTTATTCCATTCAATAAGTCAAAACATAACCAATACAATTTCAAGCTAAATATTACAAAAATCGATGAAATAGAAAAAACTAAATTTTTAGGTGTTATTATAGACCAGAATCTGAACTGGAAAAAACATATCGATGATGTTTGTAATAAAATAAGCAAATATTCATACGCGCTCAACCGAATAAAAAAAGTGACAGATATAAAAACGTCTGTTATAACTTACCGAGCTTATGCCGAGTCTGAACTTCGTTACGGACTGGTGATATGGGGAAATTGTTCGGATTGGAATCGGGCATTCCTTGCGCAGAAAAAGTGTATTAGAGCAATCTGCGGAATACGACCCGACGAATCGTGTCAGCCTCTATTTAAAGGTCTTGGAATACTGCCACTACCAGCGTTATATATTTTTAAAATTTGTATTTTTGTTCAGAGACACAAACAATTATTTGAGAAAGCTTGTGAGGTGCAGTCTACTCGCTGACGTAGGGACCCACACAAGCTAGTACTTAAGGGTATACCTAAATCACAAAAATACGGTAAAAATTGCCTTACCATGTGTGTCCGAATATACAACAAACTCCCTGACAAACTTAAAACCTTAAACATTACATTGTTTAAAAGGAAATTGTACAAATGGCTCAAATTATAAGAATTTTTTACGCTATAGAAAATAATTTCTATAGCGTAAAAAATTCTTGGATAATAAAAATTAGATTATGTGTCGGATAATATTTATTATATAAACTTTCATTTAAATATTATTGTTAAAGTATAGTTACAATATATCTTTAATTAAGTTATGCGAATTTTCACTAGGTATTGAAATTGACGATGCTCAGAATTGACATTTAATTAATTATTATAATATGACTTCTCTATATTTTATTTTTAACTAAATCATTTGACTAATTATTGTATTTCAAATAGCTAAGGAAATATTAGAAATTTTTTAAAAATATTTGCATGCTATGTAAAATAAGCAAAACATGAGCGCTCGTTCTTACATGTTAACAACATTTGTACCATGTTTTACGCAAATAAAGATTATTATTATTATAGGTTGCCCTTTGTATCCGGAGCGAAGGAACCACAAAATGGTGCGGCGGTAAGGATCGTATGGAATGGGAGGTTGTTACTAACCAAGAGAACAAAAAATGCGAGGGTATTCGTTTTCCGCGGAACCATTCGTTCTATTACAACAATTGTAATGTAAATCATTAAAAAAAATAGTAATTATTGTAAAGGTTTCAAGCGTGGTGATTCTTAGGCCATTTTCAACAATGTCCTTTATATTAGTTTCCGTACCACCTTTTAATTAACGTCCCTAGCATAGTTTCTTTCGTAGTTACTTAGTAAATAATAAAGTCAGTTTAGTACTGTCATTTTACATAAGTAAATAAATTAAATACAGTCCACTTAGCTCTCCATCCACTACACTTAGAAATGAGGATATCTGCGTTAGAACCAGAGTGACTGACATAGTCCAACGGATTAGTAAGCTGCATTCACTTACCATCATGTGGACTGTGTGCTCGTTTGTCACCCCAATTCTATTATATAGAAAAGACTAAAGACATTTGGTAGCGCAGCAAACTATTTTCCCTGTACCAAATACTTATCCAAATCAGGCCTGGGCTTCTGGAAATTTCAATGATATGTATGTGTAATTTCATAAAAATAAAATGGAATCTAATGGAAGATGAGTGCAATGAATGTAAAATGTTCATAGAAATCTTTATAGAAAAGAAAACAAGTTAGACTTGTGACTTATATTTTATTATGTTCGTTTGATCAACTAATCTTTTATGTTTGTACAATATACAGATAGAAATACAAACCAGCTTTTAAATGTCTATATAAATACATAAAGAAATATAACAGTTTGTAGTTGTTTGTAGAAAAAAATAAGTTTATAGATTTAAAAAAATATACAGAATATATAATTTACTTAAAAGTTAAAACACATTTGAACTATGTTTATATGCTTTCTGTAAATATATATATATTTAAATATAAAAAAACTATTCATTTAAAAAAATAATTCACAATAACTTAATGAGAGAGTTAAATGAATTTTTAATTTATTTACATAACATTATATAAATTCACTTTTGTTCCGTGCATGGATACACCTTAAATCTATCTTTTCCTAAAACAATTAAGATACAAAATTAGACTAAGTTTTAATATATTTTTGAACAATCTGATTGTTTCACAGCCGCAAATAACTCAATGGTAATAACTATACAGCATTAGTTTTCGGCGTAGTCACTCTGTCCTGAGTCTCAATGGGTCTAGGAATGGTAGGTTAGTAGGCTGGGGGCACTCAACCTGATGGAAAACCTTAAGTGGCACTTCCTTGACCTTACGCACTTGCCTTGGCTGGCGAGGTGTTTGTGTTCGAACAGGCACTATTTGATGCTGGCCCACTGTTTCTGGTATTTGATTTTCGGCGGCTTCCAATGCAGTCTCTACATCTATAAGAGCGTGATTTCGGCATTGGAGTAGAGCTGCTAACTGTTAAAACAAAGAAATGATTTTTAAAATACAAAATGTATAAAGCAGTGAGATAGAAAATTAATAGTTTGGGTTTTAGTTTTCTTTCATTACAGCCACTCATCATTCCGAGGTCACAATAACATAGTCCTGAGCCACCTCCATAGCGTGGTAAGTAGGCAGTAGTACAACTTCTAACTAGATGGCTCAGGACCGTATTTTATTTTTAAATATTTATTTCGCAGTGGAACCCATAGCCCTGTAGTGGCGGTTAAGAACGTCCACTATCCCATATCTTACCGTGGGTGTCGTAAGAGAAGACAAACACGAAGGAGACGGGCAGCAGCATCTTCCTGATAACAAGAGTAGTACAATAATAAACTGCGGTTGCCAACCCACTCGTCAAGTGTGGTAACTATTGCACAAATCCCCCCATGATGAAAGTTACGAAGAAACGGTCCCTACTTCCCAGCGGCCTCGCTTTTACAAACTACGGTGTAAACTATAGTTACGGCAGGGCAGGGGGTGCTAAGAATCTACGGTGGAGGTTCGGTTGGCACCTAAGACGACTCGATCTGGCAACGTACAAAGCACAAGCTGGGAGAAAAGATAGACAAGTTGTGCTGGGACATTATAGGATTATCTAAGTTACAAAGAGAGGTACACGGTAACTCTCGAATACGGAAACTTGTTCTATCACCGGGAAGAAGACCATTTGTCCTAAGGAGGTGTTGGATTTATCGTCCAAAAGTCTCTTGTTAACAACGTGGTAAAGATTATGTGACGACGAGGATTGCATACCTTATACTCAGAATCATCAAACGGTATTCGATGAATGTCATTACGCACGAATCTCGGTACATTCCTATGAGAATGAGGAAATGTATGAGGATCTCTAAGGGCATGCATTCCTTCAATAGCCGCTATACGGTGTTAGTAGGAGACTTCAACGCAAAACGAGGCTACTCGAGAACGGTGAGCTAAAGGTAGGGAAATTCAATACGGCAAAGGAACCCTAGAGGCCAGAAGCTGTCCGGCTTCATGGAGAAAGAGGGACTCTTCACTCTTCTTGATGTAGTACTTATGGCAGAATAGCTGGAGAATCTAAGCACTATGTTTAGTAGCCTCAATAGTGCTTCTCAACGGATAGGTCTTAATATGAACAAAGATCATGTATAACGTCCATATCACACCTATACCGGCAGTTGTTGGTAGCACTAAACTCGAAGTTGTTGACGAGTATGTTTATCTGGGACAAATAGTCCGACTAGGTACGTCTTACTTCGACCGAGAGGTCAATCGACAAATTCAATACAGCTGGGCAGCGTTCGAGGAAATTACGTCACATTTTCTTGTCAAGTATACGTGAAACGTTAGAAATGTGGTAGTTCACTGCTGGGCTTATGAAGACGCTCAAGGTCGCTTAGCGAGCTATGGAGAGGACTATGCTCGGGAGGATATTCACAGTAGAACCAGAATGACCAACGGATTAGTAAGCTGAAGTGGCAATGGGCCGCAATATAGCTCGCAGAACCGACAAACGATGGGGAAAAAAAGGTTCTCGAGTGGCAGCCTCGTACCCATAGACGAAGTGAAGGGCGACCCCCCCAATATATGAGTGACGACCTCGTAAGACATGCAGTAAGTCGAGGGAAGCAGGTGGCGCAAGACCGTGCTTTGTGGCACTCCTTGTGGGAGGCCTATGTTCAGCAGTGGACTTGTGAAGGGTTGTAATGATGATGATGATGGACCCGCATAAAAAATTGTATCACTATTTAAATTGCAGGATGTGAAGCAGCCTGATCAAATCAGCACAACTGATGTGTCACTATAACTACATAGATGCCATGGACAAGATTAATTTGATTTCTATCGGGACAAAATTAGGTCAGGTTTTGTGATACTATATAAACGGCCTTCTTATTATTGCAATCGAATTTATTATTTAAAATTAATCTTCCAAGTATTTTAATAGTGTGTAGCAAATGTTGATGTTTTTTTGTTCTTTGAAAGTACTCTTGTAAATTTAAACTTATATATTATTTTCATTAAAAAGTTTTCAATGAAAAAGGTTGAAACAATAATAATTTAACCAACAGCAATCATGGTGATTAAAAACAAAAATTTTCATTATTAATTGTATTAAAATGATAAATAACAATAAAATACATACCGAATAATAGTTACATTACATAAGTAAAATATGTACTTTATAATGCTCAGCAATTTACTGCAAACAACTTACATCTCTGTAGGGACACAATATAGGTATAAGGTATGTTACGAGCTTGAGGTTCGTGACAATAAAAATTGCCGATAGAATTACCTAAATTAACACTTTAATTCACTTTACAATAATTAAAGTTAAAAAAACACTAATAATTAATCACACTGATTCACTTTATTCCGCTCCGAAGCTTCGCGTGTCTCGCCAACTTCAATACTTCACCGATCGCACCTTGCAGCGCCTATAAATACACATTAGTACCGAATCATCCAGAACATTCAAGTAAATACGCGCACCAATCGACAAAGCGCCGAAAGTTCGAGAGTCAGCTTCCAGAAGCTTAGTTCCGAATCATCCACAACATTCAAGTAAATACGCGCACCAATCGACAAAGCGCCGAAAGTTCGAGAGTCAGCTTCCAGAAGCTTAGTTCTTCGTTTCGGCAACAGATGGCGCTGTCGGTTGAAAGATTAGTGATGTCATTTTCTGGAAAGCTCTCCCCTCGCTCCGTTACCCAACACTAGATGGCGCTGATGTCAACTTAGCCACGCAACACTGCCCCCTCCTAAGACATGCTCGTCCCGAGCATTATCGGCCCCATAATAACGCGCCAGGCGATCCACATGGACGATCTTAGGAGTCCCTCTTGCACCTTTCTGTAACGGCTCCGCAATGTCAAGGGCTGTCCTATCCCATGGTGCACCAACATTGTACAATTTCGGTGCTCCTCTACTACGTGTCTGAGGTCCCTTCACGGCCGCACAACTTGTACATGTACGACACCAAGCCTCGACATCGTCACGACAATGGACCCAGTAAAACTGTTCTCGGACCTTTAATAGAGTTCGTTTAACTCCCAGATGGACTCTTGAACGACCATTATGGCACAACTGTAGAACATTCGGCACTTTAGCTTTAGGGACAACCATTTGCAGACGACAGCTGTCTCCTCGACCATTGTCCCATTTACGGCACAGGACTCCATCCTGAATCAGCAAGCTGTCCCATTGGGCCCAATAGCTTTTCGTGGTTGAACTCATCGCTGAGACGTCCCTCCACTTAGGCTTGGTAGCACGGGCCTTCATCCATCCCAGAATCGGCTTGATGTCCGGACCTTCCTGCTGTGCATGTCGTAGGCTGTCCTTCCACCCGTTGCTGAGGTGGTCTGTCCTGAGCATCCTCACGGATACCACTTCCTTACTCTCTTGCCTACTACAATGGTTGCAATCTTCAGGAAAAGGTCTTCTTGACAATGCATCTGCGTTGCCGTGAGATTTCCCGCTGCAGTGTCTGATAGTAAAGTCGTATTCCTGCTGCTGCTGGGCGGTGCTGTTAGCCGCACTTCCTTTCTGAGACCGTTCACCTTCCCTTCCTAGGGTGTGCTTAGGGCAGCTGGACCGAAGATGGCCCCTTTCTCCACAGCCATAGCACCTAGGGCTGTATCCTTTATTGTGGTCGCGAACCGTAACTGCTGCAACCTCCCTAGCGTGAGGTGAACGACGATCCTGTCGCCGCCAGGCAGTGCCGTTAGCTGCACTACCCTCCTGATATCGTTCACTTTCCCTTTCTAGGGTTCGCTTAGGGCAGCTGGATCGAAGATAGCCCTTTTCCCCACAGCCATAGCACCTAGGGCCGTATCCTTTGCTGCGGTCACGGACTGTAGCTGCTGCGACTTCCCTGACGCGATGGGAACGATGATCCTGCCGCACTGCTTCCACTTCCAGTGCATGGGCCAAGGCGTCCTTAAGCGTCTCGTGGTGCCCGAGCCTCACAGCAGCTCTGACTTACAGGTCGCGGAAGCCGTCCATGAATGTCTGCACCAGGTTCCCTTCAATGAGCGCAGGTATAAGACCGGTATGCTTTTCGCACCAGCTTCTCCACTTCTAGAGCCCACTGCTGCAGGTTTTCGTTGATGCACTGCACACGATCTTTAAGCTGCGCACGAAAGACGTGTTCCAGGTGAGCGTCGCCATATCTCGCCTACAATGCCTCAAGGAGTTGCTCATAAGTCACTTCCTCACCGAGAGCTTCCAGAACTGTTAAGGCCTGGTCGCGCAGGCCTAGTGTGAGAGCAGTCATGGCCTGACTTTTATTCCAGCCGTTCGCCTTCATAACAGCCTCGAACTGGATCTTGTAGGCTGACCAGGAAGAGGTACCGTCGAACGACGGCACTTTGAATCCACGTAGCGAAGGTGTTGTAGCTACTACGGGAGCTGTTGTTCCATCCCCAAGTTTGAGGTCGTCCAGCGTTTTCTTCACATCAGCCACCACGTTGTCTACCCGATTGTTCTCTTGGTCGATTTGTGTTTTAGCTTCCTTGATTTGGGTTACAGCCTTCGCGATTTGGGTTTCAGCTTCCGACAGGCGGTTGTCATGCTGAGCAACCCTATCCTTAACCTCCTTTATCTCCTTCCCGAAGGTAGTGTGAAGATCCTTCATGAGGAGCATTTGCTCTTCCAACCGACGGGCCTGTTCCTCCTGTCCGCCCCGCAGCTGTTCTTCCAAACGACGGACCTGTTCTTCTTGTCCGCCCCGCAGCTGCTCTTCCAAACGACGGACCTGTTCCTCCTGCTGCTCTTTCAACAGACGGGCCTGTTCCTCTCGTCCGCGCTGCAGCTGCTCCTGTAGCATCGCCATCAGAGCACCTAAGTCAGGTGCTGCAGATGCAGGAGCTAATGACGGGCTCGCAGCCTCCGTGGCTGGCAGTTGGCCCTCCGACGTCTGCGCCGTTGCACCACCAAATCTTCTTTGGTCCGTCTCCTGCTGGCGTTGACTTCGGGTACGGACACCCTCC